ATTCACTGCATTCATTTTCTGAGTCGCTGCGTCCCCCGTTGAGGTTTACATACTGAATTGAACCAGCCTGCGATACCCTTACTTTAAACGTCAGTCAGTAAATTGACATTTTTTTCAGTCTTGTGTCTTTATTGATTATTTCAAAACCGCTACTTTTTTTACTTTTAAATAAATAATCAGAATATAACACAAAGATTCGCGCTACAAATGCTTTTCAATAAGAATATTCAAAACAAAACCATTGCGGGATGGCGTTGCTATGAGTCTCATTGTCTCTTGGCATGACGCTCTCTCCATAGGGTCGTCACGTGACTCCTTTGAATATGACTCTCTACTTCCAAGAAATCTGATTCATTACATTCTGTATCCCTGCGAAAATGGGTGCAATCAAATCGCTCAAAGACATCACAGACACATTCGAAAGAGAACTCACTTGTTCCATTTGTAGAGAGATATTTACCCATCCCAAGACTCTGTCATGTCTTCACAGTTTTTGTACACACTGCATCGCTCATTGGTACGAGACAAGCGGCAATCAAGGCGACAATCGAATGGACTGTCCGCTGTGCAACACGACGATGGTTGTGCCAGACGGCGATTCTCTGAAGCTACCTTCGTCGTTCTACTTGGATTCTCTCCTGGACTTGCTTCATGGGATGAAAAGCCAAGCTAATCAACCAGTCTTGCCCCATTGTGTGAGCTGTGAACAACCGCGAGTCTTGGTGGCGTTTTGTCAGCAGTGTAATGGCTTGATATGTGAGGATTGCTGCAACGCCCATCGGTTATTGAAAAAAATACAAGATGAACACCAACCAATAATGCTCGATCAATTTAAGGAGGAAAATGTAAACAGTTTCATCAAAAACCAGATGCTGTGCAAGTTCCACGAGAGAAAGAAGCTTAAATACTATTGTAAAGAGGAAACATGTAGACTCAGCGTTTGCCAAACATGCGCCTCTTTGAATCACCAAAACCACAAACTGCAGAGCTTAGAAGACGCTGGACAGGACTCAAGGGAATTGATCGTAGGAGCGATGAATCGAGTCGAGCAACGAAAACAAAATGATGGACAAGAACTAGAGCAATCTAAAGAAAACATAGGAAGAATTGAAAGAGAGATTGCCGAGGCAGAGAGGGACGTCGAAGATATAGTTGAATTGATTTGCAGGATGGCCAAAGAACACGGAATAGCGAAGAAGGAGGAACTGAAGCAGACGCTCCAGGAACTAACAACAGCAAATCATGAAGAACAAACGGCTATTCGAACAAGATTAAAAGATTCTGATGAATTTGTGCAACACTGCCGAGCACTGTTGGAGAGAGATGTAGCATATGAGGAAATAGAAAGTAAGCAAATGATTCTAGAAAGAAGTCAAATGTTATCAGAAGCTCCTTCGATCTTGTGCCTTCAGCCAATCCAGCGTGACATGACAATACGTTACTCCGTGACAAAGCAAGTCATGCAATCACTGCTAGATATCGGCAGGATTGTGAAGAATGTGACGACGGACCCTGCTCGATCCACAATTGAATTATTGAAGACTCCTCGTGGTTTTATAAACGAGTGCAATATAATCACCAGGAATACAGAAGGAGAAGTGTGTCCCACAAGAATCGAGTCTATTGATGTTAGAATCAAAGATGTGGAGGGCAACGAGGTGGAAAACAAAGTGTCTGAAGAGCAAACTGGAAAACACCGTGTGAGTTTTAAGCCACAAAAAAATGGACGGCACGAAATTCAGGTGAATATTGGGGGAGAAAGGATCAAGAACTCGCCTCAGAATGTAGAGATACTTGATATGAAGGAGTTGTTCAAACCTGTAAAAACCTTTGGAGGAAGAGGAAGTGATAGAGGACAGTTTAATGTTCCATGTTCGATAGCAGTCAGTGATAATGGAGAGATAGCCATTGCTGATTATTTTAATCATCGTATTCAAATATTCAGTCTTGATGGAAACTGTTTAAGAGAGTTTGGCAGGGAAGGAACAGGAGAAGGTCAACTGTATTATCCATTTGGAGTGGTGTTTAATGAAGACAGGATAATTGTCAGTGATGGTCCAGATGATAAAGGAAGGATACAAGAGTTTGACTTGAACGGTACTTATGTACTAGTAAGAACCATCTACAGACATGACCAATGGTTGCGTGGAATGTGTGTTAACGATGATAAAAACATCGCAGTGTGCTGTTGGGGAAAACAACAACTGGGTATCAAACCAAGTATCAAGGTGTTCAGTAAACAAGGAGATTTAGTTCATGAGTTTGATATGCCTGATAATGAACAGCCTCGGTACATCACCTATGGTAACGGGAAATACTTTGTATCTTATTTTGACAGAAACTATGTTCATGTTTTTGATGTGAATGGAGTTTTCTTGTACAAGTTTGGGGAAGAGGAAGAAAGAGACGGTCAGTTTAATGTTGTACGTGGACTGGCTGTTTATGGTGCAGACATGATTCTTGTCTGTGATGGTAATAATCACCGTGTTCAACTTTTCACACAAGAARGTCAGTTTATAAGGTCATTTGGTAGCCGTGGTTCAGGTGTTGGTCAGATGTATTGTCCTGTTGATGTAGTAGTTACAGCTGATGGTCAAGTGTTTGTGGTAGAATGGTGTGGTAATAGAGTTTCTGTTTGGTGTTAATAGATATCAACCATTCAACACTTCTTTACACTTCTATCCCTCTCATACGGTACAGTATAACCCTAATAACACTTTCATTATTATTTCCATGTAAACTTTGAGAAAAACATTGATTTTATCGTCATTATTGATGAGTAAACTCGAAAT